TCAAGATACCAATCCCATCTCTTCAGGTGTCAAGATACCAAGCTCAGAGAGTGTTGGCTTGATTTCCTGCAGTACCCAGGGCCAAATTGTGCTTTTCTTTGCTCCACATTTCCACTGACCAGCTTCCAGATACCTGACAGCTAGGGAATAATCATTCAACCGACGGCATGCTTTAAATGCCGCAAAAATTATTCTGGGCTCTGGTACGAGATCTTCAGCTGTAATGTCATTCATTGCCTTCCTGATTTCCCAGTGATCAATATCAGGGCGACAAATCTGTTGTCAAACTCCTCATCTGTCTCCTCCTTGCCATGGCTGTATCGAACTGCAGAGACAGCTCCAGCTTGTGCTTTTAAGCATTGTCTTGCTGCATTGTGAAGAGAAGTCGACGCTTTGAGGGAAATTCTGAACATTGTTACGCGACGTGACCGACCTCAATGTCCTCCTTGATAAAAACCGGAACAATTTTATGTTGACCAGTAAATTCATCATCTGCATATATATATATAATGAGGTAGATGAATTTTAACTGGTAAAGTAGACTGAATGAACCATTCATATTGTTACATCATGAGATTCGTGATTAGTTATAAGTATGAATTATCACCACAGCTCTCCGGACAGATCAACAGGTGCTTGAATCCCCACTAGTGTACGCCTGTTCTGTGTGAGTTAATAAAACGTCAGTCACTTAAGTGAAATGTTCATCAGACTAGACAGTTATACGGAGTCATGTCCTTTAGCGTACTTCTCGGTATGGTAAGTGAAGCTCTAGCCTGCACCCCATGTCTGTCAACCTAGACAGGGATACGAAGTCATGTCCTTTGGCGTGCTCATCGTCACGGTAAGTGCTGCGCATGGCATTGATAACATCACTTCTGTCCAGTATATGATGAGAATGAACAGGGAGGGGACGCCCCAGGTATCTCAAGTTTGAAATAACGTCTAAAAATTTGATTTCCTTGCTATTACTTTTATCACTTATGGCCGGGCCTCTCTCCACAAAAATCTAGCTAGCTGCATGCTGAAAGCGTCGAAGAAAGTACTAACTCCCTATCTGCAGCCAGTATCCGCATGTATCAACTTAAATCTACACTCCTAACTTAAAGACGCCTCAGTGAAACGAATCCACATTCAGAGAACTAGGCAAACGGTTTGACTACTTCGACACGGAAACACCCACTTCCCCCTTTCCTTCCACACACTGATACTTTGAAGATACTTAAGAAAAAAGAGAAGGTCAAAATCACACTACTGCGCACATCCTATCATTACCGCACAGAAAATAGGCTTCAAACATTTATAGCCACTAAAGGCACAAACTAGAGATTACAGAAGAGACACATTAATGTCAACATATCCCATAATTTATTATTGTTATTCTCAGGGAAATTTAATGGAATAATCTACTGTCTTTGAGAAAAAAACTTCAACTTTGACCTTCCGACTTTCTGAAAGGGAAGACAAGTGACATATCGATTCCTGGAGAAGCAAAAAAAAAAAAGGGGGGGGGGGGTTGGGGGGGGGGGGGGAGGAGAGATATGTCCAAAATTTTCAAATTAACCAAACTGTATCGTTGCGTTGTAATTAGTAAGAGACGTCTTAACTTACGTAATGAAGCCATAGGCCTAAAAAATATTTGCAAAAAAATGTATGAAGAGTGAAAAGTATTTAATTTCAGAATCTCCTTTGGCATGTGTTTCTGACAGATTTAGCTACAAAAAATTGCGACGAGAGCGGTGACACATACAATATGTGAGGAAAAAGTAAGAAGACTGTCATATTTTTAGCGCATGCCGAGGAGAAACGAACAGATAATCACACAATATTTACTTAAATTAAAAACAAGCAAACTGAGGAAACGAGAACACCGACAGAAGCCATAGGACGAACGTTGATAAGAGCTTCCAAAGGATTTCATTCATGTTATTGAAGAAATTACGCAAGATTGAACGGAATTGACGAATTAACTGCAAGCTCTGTGTGATGTATAACCACACAACATTATGATGACGGTGGTGATGGTTGTTGTGTACTTCGATGGATTTAGCTAAAGATAGATGTAAGTTGTTGAACATTTAGTTTAAGAGGCAAAGGTTATGAAAATGTAACAACCAGGACACATAAATGACAAAGAAGAAGCACGAAGAAGGACTACAATCATTACTAATAAACTACAGCTACTGTCTCAATGAAGCCTTTGCAAAATATAAAGAAGAAGAAGAAAAATAATAATACGACAGAATCACCAAATCAAAATTCTGTAGAGAAATATCACCAACCACGTATCACAATCGAAAATCAAGAAATAGAAAATGAACAGATTTTGAATACTTGGGTTCTTTAGTGAACAACAGTGGGACTGCTCAGAAGAAATCAGAAGAAGACTTGCATTGGCAATGCAGAAATTAAACAGCATGAAGAACATATGGCAAGGCACTAGTAAATTGGTTACAGTAAAAATCTTGAGATCATGCATTTTCCCTGTGGCAACTTACGGTTGTGAGTCCTGGACTCTCACTCAGTCATTGAGAAAAAAATATTGGAGCTTTTGAATTGAAATATTTTAGAAAATTTCTTAGAATACCATGGATCAGGAAAAGGAAAAAACGTCGACATCCTGAATGAGTTGAATATTAAAGATAACTGGCTCATAAACAGCATCCTGTCCCGAAAGTGTTGTCCATATCAAGCGTCATGGTGGCTTGTTAAAGACGGTGATGGAAGGTGCAGTTTGTGGAGGGCGAGGCAGGGGTCGACCACCGCGAATATGGATACATGACATTCAAGATGCTTTGGCATTGAAAGCAAATGAGGTCGGAGAGCTGGCTAGGGAAAGGGATACTATCAGGCGTACCGTGAAGAAAGCGACTTTCAGTAAAGGACTAGGTGGTTGATGCTAGAGAAATAATCAAATTCCGTAAACTAAGAGGTGAGAAAAAGACGGTGGAGTAGGCTAGGACATTTATTAACAAAACCTGACTACAATATTATTAGAATCTTCATACAGTGAAATCACAAGAGTGAAGTGAGCAAGTGTACTCATTTACCCAATAACACTGTTATTAAGTCATCTAAATTACACGTATTACTATCAAGGAACAGATTTTAAACAGTATGTATTATAATGGCAAATCAATCATGTGTACGTGTGGGTTAACACCTGAGGCAACAAATTACGTCCTCGAAGATTGTCCCAAACACAACATATCAAGGGAAAACGTGTGGCTAAAAGAAACACCGGTGCAGGCCAAACTTCAAGGTCGCTGATTGAATTACAACAGACAGTGATGTTCATACTAGAGAAAACATTTCAGATATAGATAATCTATTTGAAGCGAATAAAAGAGGAAGAAGAAGAAGAAGAAGAAGAAGAAGAAGAAGAAGAAGAAGAAGAAGAAGAAGAAGAAGAAGAAGAAGAAGAAGAAGAAGAAGAAGAAGAAGATGAAGAAGAAGAAGAAGAAGAAGAAGAAGAAATAATAACCTCCAAAATTACCAATGCATGCGCTACGTCTAAATATATTTGATGTGACAGCAAGAGGACGCCCAAGAAGAAATGGACAGACGGCATTAAAAACATTTCACATGCATACGGAGGGGCAATTGTCTGTGTTACTCATCGAGCACTGATCTGCAAACTATTCCTGCCCACAAGGTTTAACAGCAAAAGTGGAAGTTGATGATGTAGACTATTATGGTGATGTTGATGTCCTCCCACTTATATTATTGTGTATATTTAGGGCAGCATAGATCGAATTGTAGGATGTCTGGGTACAACAGCTTTACACGTTTAAAAGAGGCCTTCGTTTCTTGGTTCTGTCGGCTTGGCATTCGGATAGTGACTCTTTCACTCACTGGTGTTAAACCCCCAGGTTGCAAAAATACGAATGATTCAAGTTGAGCTGATTTAAAGAAATACTGGGTACACCACAATCTTGATTAGAAAGGTCAACAGAGTAAACGGAAATACATCTCAGTTACTGTCCTAAAATCTTGCTCTAATGATCAAATCAGCCGTTTCTCCTTGGAAAGTCACTATGCTTCTAGTTTAAAGGTTTTTATTCGTGCATTGATCAACATTCAGCATGTCTTTTAGAAAAAACAATTCTTGTTTAAACCACCCCCCCCCCCCCCCCCCCTCCTATCCACAATCTGGCTTTTCCCACCACTTGTTCCCAATCATTTTCAAGACGTCTTCTTGTTTTTTTTTTCCCAAAAAGCCTTGCTTGTTTATTTTCCCCCTTTACGTATTTCTGGTTCCATCTTGCTTGACCTTTGTTGTTTGTATGCTCTCTTGTTAAGTCCACTGAGTTTTCCAGCCACAACAATTTGTGTTGTATTAACCATAGCCTGATAGAGACCGATCAAAGCAGGTTTCTCATTCCGTTACGTTTTCTAGGCTCAGTGCGTGTTGTGTTTCGTATTTCATTATGTCGCAGTACAGTAGGGTGCACAAGAAGATATATATTTATAACGCAAAACGACAGTCCAAGAGAACTCCCAAAGCATACTGCACGACATCAGCAATAAAACACTCTCAATATACCACAACACATGATGAGTTTCAAGCGAATGCAGGGCATAACCAATCAATCTCGTGGCCTTAGTGAGAGTGTTTATTAGTGGAAATATGGTTCTGAACAACAACAGCGGTATTTAGGGACAAAATATTACCTCAGTACAGTTATTTTTTAATTCATTCATTCATTATCCTGTTGGGCCATTATATATCACATAGAGCTCGCCGTCTAATCCTCTGTTCTGTTTTTCCTGTGCAATCAAATCAATATCATGGATGCAGTCCAGCCCAGCACCTGTGGCCTCTCTCGTCAACGTTGGTCTTAGGGTTTCTTTTTCACGTCCTTGCCTCCTTAATCCTTCTATTTGCCATTTTCAGGCCTGTGTGGTGATTCTCTGCTAATTTGTTCTCATGATATGTCCAATGTAAGCCATTTTTTCTGTCATATAACTGTTGATATTTGTGGTTCTGGGACACGCAGGCGTCGATGGAAATGAAAGAGCTGATAGGTTGGCTGGATCCACTATCACTACCGACGGTCAGCCTGTGGATCATGCTATTATTAATGCCCTCAGAGAAGTGGGAAGGATAGAGGACTTTGGGGGCAGTGAATCCACATCACTCACCAGAATGGCAGACTTGGGAATTAAGATCGGCATAACAATAAACGAGACGCACACCAGACACACCAGAAGACTTGTTAATCAACATGGAACTGGTACTATTAGCCATCGGACGTTGGGGTTCATACTGAGGGGAGGATCTGAGCACCTATGGACATGTCCAGAGTGTAATGAGGATAGCCCAACTAACTAACTAACTAACTAACTAACTAACTAACTAACTAACTAACTAACTAACTAACTAACTAACTAACTAACTAACTAACTAACT